TTATGTACTGAAAATCTCAAGTCAATCTTAAAAGGTCGAACGGTTTAGATGACCACTCGTAAAGGCTATCCACTCAATTTCATATTATAATTATAAGTCATTTGAATTTGTTTCTAGTTAAACTTTGTATATTTAATCAAATTTATAGAAAAATATAGTAGTAACTTTAACCCAAAACAATTTTAGACTTAAGCAGCACAGACCATCTAAAACATCTAAAACATTGTTTTAACATAAAACAATGCTAGATTTGATCAATGTATGATTTAATGAAACTAATTTCATATTTTAGATGTTGAATTTTTCTATAAATTTGGTCAAACTTAATAAAATTTAATAAAAAAATTAAACACCTTATAATATGAAACGGAGGGAGTAAAAGGTTCGGACGGTTCGGACAGGGTGACTGATAATCCAGAGCTCTGTCCAGACCATCCGGCCATTCAATCAGCAGAAACTATCCATCTTGTTGTCCACGGACCGTGTAATTTTTCACCCTAAGCGAGTAATACTGTTGGTTAGAGCGATAAATCGTCAGTGTTGCTCTAGGTACCATTTCTTGTTCATGGCTTAAACCGGCAGTGGTACTGCGCCATTTTCTTATATTGAAAGATCTAATCCAGTGGAGCATATATACAAATGACCCGTCTAAACAATAATCAAAGGAAACCACTCATATTGAAATATAGTCTAAAATATCGTGCAGGTTTTTCAAATCTTCTATTATATATTAAAAGTCTATTAAACTCTCTACAAACGCTCCTAAACCGCCATGTGTCATCCTATAAACGTTCTCGAGTTACCACGTGGCACTCTAACAAAATATAGAATATCATAAAAAATCTAATAAACATCTAGCCATTGATTTTCTGTTAAATCGGTGGACCCATATATTTTAACCATTAAAAATCCGGTAGCCCTCATCCCCATCGTGCATATATGCGGCATGTGCAGGTACGTGCTATACCTCCCTCCCTCCGGCCTCTCTCTTTCTCTCCTCTTTTCTCGGTAACTACTCCTATTTTTTAGCTAACACCTATATCTATCTTCAGATTTTCTAACTATGTTTACCTGTGAAAGTTTTGCACGTAAAAAAAAAAGTTCCACTGTTCCACATACATGCACGTGCATACATACGTACTCTTTTTTCCTTTTTTTCCCCTTCTTCTTGGTTAGATGAGATAGAAAACTAAATTAATAATTTAATACACACATTAACTGTTAATATTTTAAGTTCTAAAATGCACTTTAATAGATTAGAAAAAAATTCAAGAAAATCTGAGGAAAAAAGTAAAACATTTAGTCATCGATTTTCATTTAAATTAGTAGATTTGTTATCTCAGATTATTAAATTAAATCTATTAATAACCTCACACCTAATCTCTCTCAGCGCACCGACGAGAGAAAGGTACTTACATACTGCTCATAAAAAACCAAAAAAAAAACATATACAACTATAACGCAACGTATGATTAAAAACAAATAAATATATATTACATATATCATTAAAAATTACATCCGCTTCCATCTCCTCCCCTCTTTTCTCTATGCATGTATAGATGAGATCGTAACTATAATTAGTGATATTAAATTTTAAAGAACTATAACTTTATAAACATAGATTATATATATCACAAGACATACGTAAATAAATTAGATCCATAATCTTTGGAAATAAAATTTTTAGGATTCTATTATTTTACCCATTATATTAACAATATAATATAATTTTATTTAGAACCATTATTTTAAAAAACACGCGGTTTAAAATAAAGGTTACACAACTATATTTTATACCATTAATTATCAATTTATGATCTATATTAACTAATTTATACTCCCTCCGTTTCTAAATATTTGACGCCGTTGACTTTTTTAAATATGTTTGACCGTTAGTCTTATACAAAATATTTAAGTAATTATTAATTATTTTCCTATTATTTGATTCATTGTTAAATATACTTATATGTATACATATTGTTTTACATATTTCACAAAAGTTTTTGAATAAGACGAATGGTCAAACATGTGCTAAAAAGTATACTATTTTTAATAAAAATATTTTGCCATCGATTTTCACTTAAACTGACGGACCTATTAATTAATTAATTAGGCAATCATATATATATCATAAAAAAAGAAGAAAAAACCTTCTAAAGACCTCTCTTCAGTCCTCTGCACAACACGTGTTCATATTTGCCTTCTGCACATATGACAAAAAGCATCGTACCTGAGGCAGCTAAAAGTGATTACTAAAGTGATCATGACCGTCAATAAACACTACACATACTAATTAAATTTATATAATTTATCTCTTATTTCAAACAAATATTATTTCGAAGAATACAATTGAACATGTGAAAAACAAAAAAAAGGCTTTAAACAATTGCTGATATTTTTGCACTACTAAACCAAGCAATTGTGTAGATGATTTGTGTCCTAACATAAAAAAGTCTTCAATTCTTTAAAAGTATGGAAAAATATGAACATTTTGAACTTCTACGAATGGAGGAACAATCCAACTGTTAATCTATCCTTAATTTGGTTGTTACTAAGTCATGCATCTTCGTAAGGCGATTCAGTCACAATAACTTTGAATTTCTTACTATCACAGTTTGTGCTTATAGCAATATTGTACAATATTTACTTACTTGATCCAAAAGTCAAACTCATATGGCCATGATTTATCATCTAACATGAATGATATTTGGATATGCCCACCCTATAGTTTACCCTTATGAGATGCAATTTCTGAAGAAAAAAATTAAATATCATGTTTTAATAATACGGATGCCCACGCGATGCGTGGGCCACCTTTCTAGTGGAATATAAAAGCTGAAAATATATAATGGGCAAACAACTCGCAAAGCTAAAGTTTGTCCTAGTTTCCAATATAACATCTAGTTGTAAAAAGAAGATTTTAAATTTGTTGAACGAGTGGCTATGACACAATTGCAAGAAAAATGCCTGGTAGGGAGTTTTCCGCCGAGATAGAAAAAGCCCAGTCTCAGGGACATAAGCTGATAGGCCTGGTGCTTCGCAAGCAAAGATACTTTAAAGAAAAGGTCCATTTTATCTCCTCCGTGATGAGCCGACTTTGCGGTTGAAGAACGTGAATCAAGGTAGGCCCATGATTTGAAGGAGCCCAAATTATCCTTTTGCCTACTTTAATTTCAGACTGCATTTTCTCCAGGGAATAAGTTCGCTTGACGTCTCTCAGTTTGATGTCAAGTTCTAATTTCATCCTTGAACTTCAATAACAGATATAATATATTTCTCAACTTACAAAACAGGATTACCAGAGGTCCCAAAACAGTATTATGTCTCGTTTTGGCTAACATGGCGAGTTGATGGTAGTCAACCCAACTAACTCGCGTGGGACCCATGGGGCCCTATATCTTTGCAGTAGGTCTTTCTTCCTCCTCTCTTTCACTCTATTACACATAAACTCAAAGGCGACGACCCACAGGGAATAGAGCAACGTGCGGCGGGAGGTGGGAAGAAGGGTGACGCCGGGCAAGAAAGGAGTCAACGGCCTCCGCATGTTCGTCCCTAGCCTGCGCGCCACATGCTTGCCTTCTTCCACTCCGTCAGGCGGAGGGAGGAGCACACACGGGCTGTCGTGCTTCCTATTCGAGGAGTCCACAGGCGGGGCCATCTGCCTCCTCTTCCACCTCCATACGCCACCGGAGGAGTGGAACACCGCCGTCCTAGTGGCACCCATTGTGCTCACTGTTGATGCTCCTAAAGTTCGTAGTGGCGCCGGCGCTGGACGCAATGGCAGGGACAAGGTGAGGGAGGAGGCTGGGGGCTCGTCACATCGGTGTGGGTCGTCGGTGGGTGTAGTGCGTCTCCGGCACAGCTACACCCTCTCGTGTGGGAGGAGGTTGGCAGCGCCTGGGACGAGCGGGAGGAGGAGGTGCTTCGCCACAATAAACACGCTCGCCAATGCCATCTTGTTTGAGGATAAATTAAGCAGCAGCAACCTAGTTAATCGTGGCGGCCACCATGGCCGCCATGAAGCCAGAGCTCATGCACGTGCTACCGCCTTCGTCGGTCGCGCTGGGGCAGGCAATGAGCCTCATCTTTTCGCTTATGCTTATGCTTATCAGCCAAAATTTAAATTTTCAATCTTAAATTTGGAGTTTATTTTCATTGAAGTTTATTTTTCAGCCTTTCTTTTAGATCATTAAGAACACGTATTAAAAAAATTTACAAATTTTTTTTCGTTAGCAAATATGACGTTTGGCTTATTCCCGACTTAGGCGTGTTGTTCGTCGTAGGGCCAGACGTTTCCTCCTCGATCAGGGCCTCAGCGGACGTCTCGGTCGGGTCTTCCTCCATGTCGCCCCTGTCTAGCAATGAGGCCTCATCCAAAGAACTGGACGTGGAGTCCTTGGGGGCACTGGCCAAGACCTCTTCCCCGACACCTCGGCGACCTTTGACGACTTAGCGCTGGCCTTGGCGTGGGTTGGGTGACGGAATAGCCGAGTTAGGTTCTCCCCACCAGCCGCTGTCCTCCTCACCGCCAACCGCTAGCCTTCTCCTCACCACCCCGTCCCAGTGAGATGAGAATAAAGGGGAGGGAGAGAGGGAGAGGTGACGAGTGAGGGGCCTTGACATGTGGGTCTCACGGTGACTCGGTGTTGTTGACTCCGATCAATTAGCCATGTTGGATAAAACAAGCCGCTATGCTGCCATGGGATCTCCTGTCCACTGGTTTTGACAGTTGTGGGACGAAATACAAAGTGGGTGTCAAAATAAGGGACCTAAAGTGAACTTATTTCTTTTGTCCAGGCATCGTATCAGGCACCAGGCAAAAAATCACGGCTCATGCCTAGCATGGTTTGAAACCCAGTCTGACACTCTGACGAAAGACCAGAAAAACTATTAGCAGTTCTAGAAACCAGTCACGTTCCATACATTTTCCTACACACCGGACGAAACCACGTTTCTCCGGAACGATAACAAGATAAGCGAAAAATCTACCTAAAATAATATTCTTACAATTCAAATCTTATATTATTATTAAAAATTTACACAATCGTTCACAAATCATGATCCAACACGAAACAAATACTGTATACCAGTAGCTATCAATCTGTCACACACAAGACACGCACGCACGCACGCATATGCACCAACTATCACAAGAAACATCAGCTGCATTGCTATCTAATCGATCACTACTTGGTGGAGACAAGCGGCGGGATGCTCTGCTCGTTCCGGAAGTAGTCGCTGGCGTCCACCTTCCCCTTGGTCAGCGCCAGCCTCCTGAAGTTGGCCGCGCCGAAGTACTTCTCCCCCCACACCCTGCCGTTCTCGTAGCTCGTCACGCCGCCGGCCACCGCGTTCTCGCCGATGTCGAGGTCGCGGTAGTTCACGTACGCATCCCTCGGGTTGCTGGTGACGAACGGCTCCATGAACGCGTGCACGTTCTTGATCCAGTCCGGCACCGCGGGCGTCGCCGTCGTCGTCGGCCAGAACGCGACGTACTGGATGTTGTAGAGGACGCCGGACCGGTGCGGGTACGGCGTGTTGCCGTCGGCGATGCTGCCGACTCTCCCGCCGTGAGGCTCCAGGATGATGAGCCCCGCACCGGCGGCGCCGTCGAACCACGGGAAGATCTTCTCCCAGGAGGCGCTGGGGATGGCCTGCTTGACGTAGTCGGACTTGTTCTTGGTGTAGACGCTCAGGCTGGTCGTCCTGTTCAGGAGCACCTCCACCGGCGTGCTGCTGGTGCCGCCGTTGATGTACACCATGGACTGCAGCCAGCTCATCTCCCGGCAGTCGGCACGCGTCATGCCGAGCTCCGGGAAGCGCGAGCCCATCACCGGCAGGAGCTGGTCGCACGTGCCGAGGTACAGCGACTGGAACAGGGCTTGCTTGTTCTGCACGACCACCCGAATGGTGAGCTCGTCGGGGAGCGCCGCCGGCGCGAGCGTTTGCCATTTGGTGACGGCGTCCACGGCGCCCTGGGCCAGCGTCTTCTGGATGTTGAACACCGTCACCGTCCGTGGGACAGCCACGAGCCTCACCTTCCACGACAGCACGATGCCGAAGCTCTCGCCGCCGCCGCCACGGAGGGCCCAGAAGTAGTCCCTCCCCATGGCCTTCTTGTCCAGGAGCCTCCCGTTGGCGTCTACGACCATGGCGTCGAGGACGTTGTCCACGGAGAGACCATACTTGCGCATCATCATGCCGATCCCTCCGCCGCTGAAATGCCCGCCCACGCCGATGGTCGGGCACAGGCCGGCGGGGAACGCGAGCCCGGCGTCCGCCTTGGCGACGGCGTAGTACATCTCCCCGACCGTCGCGCCGGAGTCCACCCACGCGGTGGCCGCGCGGCGGTTGACGCGCACGGAGCGGAGGCCGGCGAGGTCGACCACGGCGAACACCTCCTGGCGCACGGACCGGTACGAGAGGCCCTCGTAGTCGTGCCCGCCGCTGCGCACGCGGAGGCGCACCCCGTGGCGGCGGCCGCACAGCACGGCGGCCTGGACGTGCGACGCGTTGGTGGGCTTCACGACGCAGAGCGGCCGCACGGTGCCGGGCGCCAGGAACCTCGGGTTCCTGACGGACGACGCCAGCACCGACGCGAACGACGACGAGCCCCGCGTGACGACGAGCTGGCTAGGCACGCCCGCGGCGAGGCACTGCAGGAATTCGCCGGAGGAGTCGGCGGAGGACAGCGGGGCGACGGACGCCGCGTAGCAGCAGCAGCAGCAGACGGCGAGCACGAGCGCCAGACTTGTCGACGCGGCCATTGTGAGATGTTGTGTCCACTCTAACGTTCAGTGATGACACGAACACGTACGAATTGCATCTACCGGATCGGCTGTTTATATACGCGCGACGTTAACGTGTACGACTGAAGGTTGCAAGTGTTGCAGAAAATGAGAAACGCGCGTAGGAGAGGTATTGGTGCTTAGTAGTAACATGCTGCCGTGGTGGTTTGGTGGAAAAGTCGCGGTCAAAGGCTAGCACCAGCCGGTGGCAGAAATAGTTGTAATTAGTCTATTTGCGGGTTCGGCGGCGTGAATGGAAGCTGCCTGGCTTGGCCCAATCGGGGGTGCGTCAGTTGTTATGGGAAAATCAAGCGTGTGAACATCGCGGAGCCACGTCGTAGTTCTACCAATAATCTACCTTGGCTTGGAACTTCAAGTAAACGAGGGACCGATGGAACGATGGCTTGGAAACTTGGAAGTAAACGAGGTGCATCACGCTGATGTAATATACGGATCTGAAGCTTGGAATGTAAGAAGTGTTAGAAGCATACATATATCGGTTAGCGATAAAAGTCAAATATAAATTATAGAGCTAAAATATAATGGTAGAGATAGAATTCTAAAGAAAAATAAAGTCGTAGAGACAGAATACAACAAATATATTTTCCACAAGAAGCACTGCTCTAATGAGCGGACCTACGTTGTTTTCGATATAAAACTTAAGGTTGGTCACTTTGATTAAAAAAATTGTGTACACTTAAGATATTTAGCATGATCAAAGATGAACAAGTGAGCGAAAACATTTGTGGAACACCCCAAAAAAGTGAAAACTTCAGTCGGTCAAGTGTTTCAACAACCAGTCAAATGTTTTATACTCCCTCCGTTTCGAAATGTTTGACATTGTTGACTTTTTAGCACATGTTTGACCGTTCGTCTTATTCAAAAACTTTTGTGAAATATGTAAAATTATATACCTACATAAAAATATATTTAGCAATGAATCAAATGATAAGAAAAGAATTAATAATTACTTAAATTTTTTGAATAAGACGAACGGTTAAACATGTGCTAAAAGTCAACGGCATCAAACATTTCGAAACGAAGGGAGTATATGGGACTTGATGAAACATTAAGTAAATAGATGAAACATTACATGTATGTTTCACTACATCTTTGTTGCAACATTCCGCAAATAAAATGTTAAATATTAAGTTTAAATCACTTGGAAACAAGTACAACTTTTGGAAAAAGTAATGCAACATTCAAAATTCTATGCAATATTTCTAAAAAGAATTGGCGCAACATTGGAACAAATGCAACATTTGAATGCAACGAGTAAGACAAATAAAGAAGAAATGATTGCAATAAAATCATCGAATAATATGCAACAATATCCTACCAATTTCGATCTCCCTTCTTTCTCCCCTCTTCATAAATATTTAGCGTTTACCATAGATTAAGTCTATGACCATTAATAATATCTCAAATGCTTACTTTTAAAATATATTATGTCTAGTATCAAATATTATAAACTTACTAGATCTTGTAAAATTATACTAAGATAAAACTAAAGGCCAAAATTTCACATGTTTGACCAAATCTTATCTTAGACGTCAAATATTTACAACAACCACAATCAATTTCCATGTAATTGAGTTGTACATACTCATTCTCTTCTCATTCTAAAATGACCGGCTATGAGGTGGTTTCGGATTTTAGTGGAGAAATAAGATTTATTAGTTAGTACGTGAACTATCATAATATATCATATCATAGTTGTAATACAACATTACACTCATAGCTCAATGATAATTGTGCTGGGATTGCCTAGCCACATTCGCAAGCTCATGAGTTATGTTGTTATGAATCTTACGAATACACATTTTTCTTTTTGTATGTTCAGAACAAAAGTGTTTTCCTAACCACATAAGATAATTTCCAGCTTATTGGTATTGATCTATCCTTCTCTCTAGAGCGCAATGTATTGTTAAGACTTAAGAGCTTCATCAGGTTCATGTATATTGTGTAGATGAGAGGGGGTGCTTTTAAGAAGATATGGAAACCACGGTTTTAATTTCTTGTCAGGTTTTAATGTCTTATTAATGAGCTAATGATCGAAATGATATTCTTTTTTTACTAGATATCCTTTTAGTTTAACTCATATGGCTTAAAATAAAGGTATCTGATCCATGACAAGTAAGTACATTATCACTATTTAGATAGACTTAGGCATTGGGTCACCCGGGGCATGGCCCATGGCCTAGGATTGGAGGCCCACTAATTAAGGTAGGAAAATTTTCACCATGTACTTCATATGTAAGACATAACGAGCGTGGGCTTTTGGCTAATTCTTAGTACGCCTCAAATCTTTGAGGGTTACAGAGGCTGCATTGAAATCCATTATCTAAAAATTTCAAATAGGTATTCGGCTACATACATAAATATATTTTTATCCCTGAAAAATCAGTATTTTTCTTGAGAAAAAAGATTGGTATGTGATCTGCATACATTTTCACTGCAAATGGATCACCCTAGAAAAGAACTACCAGTAGGTATCCGAAAGAAATTATTACTTTTACATATGCCTGAAATGCCACATGATCATCACTCGAACAAGGGAGGAATGCTCTGCTCATTCCTGAAGTAATCATCAGGATCCACCGTGGCCTTCACTTTGGCAAGCCTTTCGAAATTGGCCCTGAAATACTTCTCCCCCCAAACCTTGCCATGGTGATAGCTGCTGATGCCGTTCACCACCTTGTTCCTCCCAAGATCAAGGTCCCTGTAGTTGGCATACGCCTCCCTGGGGTTCTTGCTCACGTAGGGCTCCATGAACTTGTACAGGTCCCTGCTCCACTTCAGAGCCAGTGTGCCATTTGCATCACCGTTCCAGTACGTGATGTACTGGATGTTGTACAGGACGCCTTCCCGGTGCGGGAACGGTGTCGCGGATTCATGGATGCGGCTGATCTTGGCACCGTAGGGGTCTATGAACAGCTGAACCTCACCGAAGTTGGTTAGCTGTTGTAGCTTGGCGAAGATCTTCTTCCAAATGGACTTTGGGATGGGGTGCCTGACGTAGTCGGATCGGTTTTTGGTGTTCACCCTGGAGATGGAGCTCCGGTTCAGGATGTCGGCCACCGTCGCGTTGCTGCCGAGGTGGATGTAGGGGATGGACTCGATCCATGTCATCTCGTTGCAGTCCGCCCTTGTCATGGCGAGGTCGGGGAATCGGTGGTGCATCAATGGCAGGAGCTCGTCGCAGGTGCCGAGGTACATGGCCTCGAAGGTGACGCGGCGTGGCTCGGCGATGACCCTGACCATGATGTCGTCGGGCAATCGGGGCGCGATCTCCTGCCATTTCGTGAGGACGTCGATGGCGCCGCGCTCCGGCGTCCTGACGACGTCGAACACCGTGACGGTGGGCGGGACGGGGACGAGCTTGATGTGCCAGGAGACCACGATGCCGAAGCTCCCGCCGCCGCCGCCGCGGATCGCCCAGAAGAGGTCCTCGCCCATGGCGTCCCTGCCGAGGAGGTCGCCCCTCGCGTCGACCAGCGTGGCGTTCACGACGTGGTCGACGGCGAGGCCGTACTTGCGCTGCAGCATGCCGAAGCCGCCGCCGCTGAAGTGGCCGCCGACGCCGACGGTCGGGCAGACCCCCGCGGCGAAGCCGAGCCGCGGCGCGCTGCTCCAGATGGCGTGGTACAGCTCGCCGAGCGTCGCGCCGGACTGCACCCACGCCGTGCCGCGCGCTGCGTCGACGCGCACCGACCGCATCCCCGACAGGTCGACGACGGCGAACCGCTCGAGGCGACCCTCGGCGCGGTACGAGAGCCCCTCGTAGTCGTGCCCGCCGCTGCGCGCGCGGACGCGGACACGATGCCGGCGGCCGCAGACGACGGCGGCCTGGATGTGGGAGGTCTTCTTCGCCATGACGATGCACAGCGGCGTCGTCGACGCGGTGGTGTTCAAGAATTTAGGGTTTCTGATGGAGGACTTGAGGATGGGTGTATAGGAAGAGGAGCTCCTTTTGTGTATGAGCCATGGAGGAATGGATTTCTTGGTGAGGCAATGGATGAAACCTTTGGAAGAAGGATCATGATCAGAAGCTATGGCAGGACTGGGGATGTAACAAGAAGAGAAGATGCAGAAGATGATGAACAACAAGAGGGTTTTGAAGCTGCTCATGTTTTCTGTTGATTCTTTGGCTTTGGTGACTTAGATTGTAAGTAGGTAGATAGGGGGGGTTGTATATATGGGTGATCATGTCTATCCATGCCAATATTGGCATGTCAAGATAAGGAACAGTTATCACTTACTAATGCTTTTTGCGCATATATGCAATTAATGTTCCTATCTGGCTAATTTGCCAAATATTTTACTAATTCATTAATTATCCATACTTGGCATATCATAGAAAAACATATATTTAGTATTATTTTACAAAAAAATAATCAGAGTTTTAAATCTCCAGCTATAGCAGGCACTATCGAACTCTGGCTGTAGCTGTTTGAGTTCTACTTTTTTCCGATTATACATATATGGAAGATGCATGCACACACCCCACTACGACCATACTCACGTACCCTATAGCATAAACTTGAAGGGATGGAAACTAGTGTGACAAATCACTAACCTCACTTATGAAAAACACATTTGCATGTGTAATATTCATGTATGAGTATATATACAAACACACATTTCTATTAGTTAATTAGTAAGTTGATCATGAAAATATAATGATTTGGTACTTCTTTAAGATGCATTGTCATGTTTGAAAATCGAAAAAAGATGACATCTTAAAAAGAAATAGAGGAGCTCCTCAGTCTACTAATTTAATTATCAGGTATATACCATTTTTCCTTTTGTATTCACCTGCTCATGTGGAATGTAATTAATACATTTAATATATGATTTCTGGGAAATTTTATTTTGGTATGGAATTAAACTACTTTACTATTATTTTTGCCTGATGCCAGCCATACAAAACTAGTTTTACTTTGGCAAATTTTGCTACAAGATATCACGGCCTCTTGATTTTAGTTTTAGCACACCACACAAAATGACTTTTTAGAAAAAAAACTTTATAAAATAGTTATTTACCAGGGGTCACCGCGCTGATTATTTTAGTGTTTTCGTGTTGATGACACGAGATAGGGCCCACGCTTTTTCAGTTAGCGTGACCAAATTGCCCTTATGCATCCTAGACCATCCTCTCATCTCCTCTCCTCTACGGCCACGATTCTCCTGCCACCCCTATGATGGTCCCGATCTAAGCATGTCCGACATCGACGGCGAGCACCACCGGCCCTCGTAGCATCACCGCGATGGGCCAACCCGCTGACACCAGAGGATGGAATCCTCCTCGGCCATGTCGTTCGTTGCTCGCCCCTATGGCACCCTCCACGGCCATGGGGGCGTTTGTTGCTCGGGGCTGTGGCACCCTCCGCGGCCGTGGGGGTGTCCTCCTCGTGTCCCCCCGAGAGTCCACTTATTTGTACTCCCTCCGTACTCGTAAAGGAAGTCATTTTGGACAGCGACACGGTCTCCAAAACATAACTTTGACTTTCTGTTTCTATAAAAATATTTATTAAAAAGTGATATATGTATACTTTTATGAAAGTATTTTTCAAGACAAATCTATTTATATAATTATTACATTTTCAAACTCAACAACTTGAGAGTTATTTATGATTTATATATATTCCCAATATTTGACTTAAATATTATCTCAAACGATTTTCTTCACGAGTACGGAGGGAGTATGGATCACCGACTCAAGGACCACATCAAATGCACTCGGTTGTGCTCGTGCACCTCGCCGACTGTGGGGACAGCGCCACGACATGCATCTCGTCTACACGGGGAGGCAGCTCGTGTCGGAGAGAGCACCAGCACATGGCAGCTAGCTAAGGCCCTGTTTGAGGAAGCTTCTAGCAACTGCAGCTTCTCCTAGAATCTCCAGTTGACAGAAGCTTCTTCAAACAGTCCAGCTTTTTATCCAGATTCTAAGAATCTGTAGTTGTAGAATCTGGAAAATGAACTAGAAGCCAGAAGTTGGGTTTCTCAGCTTCTCCAGATTCTCATCAGCTAACTTCTCAGCATCTGCTTCTCAGAATCTTAAGCTCCCCCAAACAGACCCTAAGCCTCCCACATCGCTTCCACCCTACCAAGTCCGACCCCGTCCAGCTCCGCCGCTAACATGGATGAGCTAGTCCAGGAGTTCATTCTCTCCGCGCACCAAGCTAATCAGTCTAAACAAAACACGCAAGGGCAATTTGGTCACATTGGCTAAAAAAGGAGCCTATCTGCGTCATCAGCACAAAAACAGAAAAATAATGGGACCGGTATCTCCTGATAAATAATCATATTTACAAAGTGTTTTTTCTCTAAAAATCACTTCGTGCAATGCTCTACCGTTAAAACCACGAAGTTGGGTTGTCTTGAAGCAGGATTTACCTTTACCATATGATTTTGGTATATGCCTCGTTTTGTATAGTATTTAATTTTGTCTAGTTTTGTATGGCCGGCATCAGACATGCTCATGCATGCCTGGTTGGATGGAAAACACATGGATTTTTTAATTAACATTTTGGAAAACATTTTCCTTAACATTTTGGTTTTTTAATCCATTTTGGTGTAATTTTGTATGGCTGGCATGCATTTGCACGCTTGGCTGGAAGTAAAATGTTTCCAGCGAAAGCATTGATGAGCTTAACTGTGATTTGTAAAATTGTTAATTACTGTCAGCTGTCCTGGCGCTTAGTGTGCTACGCCAAGTCCTGTCGCAGGCATGTCCCTCTGGCCGAGAAGGCCTCTCTGATTTTTAATGGAACTGGATTTGAACTAGCGACACCTAGCCTTATTTATTTACATACAATTCAAATCACTAATAATCCCTCTGGTCAAAATCATTCGTTGTTTCTAAGATAAAAAAAGAATAATGAAAGCTGAAGAAGCTCTAAGTTATTTGCACCGTCTAAAGCGATAAATATTTCTGTGTGGAGAGTATATTTTAATACTGGTTTAAAAGCACATGGTTGTCTATCATATCCGTCCATCCATAGCGTAGTGCCAAATCAGCTAAGCTTCTTAAAATAGGAAAAAAAATGCAACGGCTTAAAGCCTTCAATCAAGTTTGGTAACGAGAATCCTCACACACAAATAGTCAAATATGCGTGACGCCCATGTGAATTTCTACCCTTTTCCTTTTCAACCCATACTAATGGCGATTAATTTCTATTTTCGGTGCCTCTTTCACATGAACCCTTTCCTTTTCTGCCCCTTTCAATTTGTTCGATTTTGTGGGAACCAATTTTGGAACGAATTGAAAACGCGAGTCTAAGCCTCCCTCACAGTCACAGTAGCCCTAAATCTGCATATGCTGGGCTTACTCTTTAATTGGGCTAGTTTAGGCCTAATAGAGAGTCGATATTTTTTTTTTCTTTATTGAACTTGTTTCATTGAATTCAGTTCAAAATTTTCGTCACAAACTTTCAATACCAGAATTTTATATTAGAAACTTTGTTTAGTTATGCATAAAGTTTCTGAGTAAAAAGTTTGTTATTTTGTGTATAAAGATTTCTAGTGTTTAGAAAAACGTCTAGATATTTAAACAAACTTTTATTTGAGTAGAAAGTCTATGAGCAGCTTTTTTTGAAAAAAAATATCAGAAGTTTCTAGGAACTTTTTACTCATCTATAATTAATAGTGTTGAGTAGTTTTTTTTTATTTCTCCAGAACTATGAAATTTTTATTCATGTAGAATATTTATGAGTAGAAGTTCTCGTCTAATAAACAGGATGCTACTAGAAGTGCTAGTCCTAGTCTAATCACGCCATAATGGTGCATGTCGACATTTTCTTACGGTTAGCCACTAAAAAATCATAATATCTATGGCTTTCTAGATTCGGTGGTTTTTACTTGATGGTCGGCTGATGGAATAATTAACCTGGGTAGTTTTTGACCGCCAAGAAAATTGCGGATTCTTGTAGTGATGTAATCTAACTGCAAAAAAAAAAGAATACTATGTACTTCCTCCGTTTCAAAGTGTAAGACGTTCTAGAATTGCCCAGATTCATTTAGATGCTAATGAATCTAGACATATGTATGTATCTACATTCATTAACATCTATATGTATGTGGCCAATGCTAGAAAGCCTTATATTGTGAAACGGAGGGAGTACGTAGGTTGAGCATATGTTTGCAGGAGCGGATCTAGCATAAGATTAGAGAGGATGACTCATCTCCTTCTTACTCCTATAGTCCACCCTTCTTTTCCTTCTCTCCCTCTTCTTCTCCTTTCACTCTCTGCTTCTTGTTGGAATTAATATATATGCCTTAGCTCACAAAGAAAAGAAGGGTCTTACCTCATGGGATGACATATATGGAGAGTTTAGTATCACCTTGCTTATTCTAGGAGAGGGGGACCTCCTTAAAAGGGAGGATGCCCTCTTAGCCACTTGAAGCATGTGTGGTGGAGAGAAGAGGGGGAACACACGCGCGCGCTCGCTCGCCTTGCCTGGCAGGGTAGGCGGCGCGTGTGCACGACGTACGCGTCGAATTGTCTGCAAAATTGGCTCCTCACCCTTGCGCAGATGCAGCCTCTTTTTGCAGTTTTGTTTTGCTGCGGGAAATTCAGATTTGTTTTGTTTTGGAAACATTCCGAAAAATCCGGTGCGTGAAAACGACGTGGAGTCCGGATAAGTTATACGCGACTTATCTGGTTCGGTTACGCGGAGTGGAGATCGTACGGGCGTCCTGATCAAGCGACCTATCTCTATATAAGCCGAGCCGCCGCCTTCACGCAACACATGCGAAATCAATATAGGGTTTGCCTCTTACTCTGTGCTGCACCGTCGCTCGTAGACTACTCTATCCCGCTCCCCGGCGTGCACCGGCGATCGGGAGAGCAGGTCTCCGGAACCTCTGCCTTCGACGTCCTGCACCGGGAGAATGCGGCAATAAGGTTTTTGGGAAGCGCTTCGCGTGACTGCTCCCTGTTCGTCCGCGACGGCTCACCTTCCTCTCCGCTCGCGTGCTGCGTGCCTTCGTCGACGCCCGCAACCGCGAGTAGTTCCTACTGAGCAACCGGTTTTTCCGCAACCTCGGTACGTGTTTAATATGTTGCGCATATTTGATCTGTTCATGTTATACCGTGTAGTTTACATGTGTAGATCTAATAATGTGTTCATGCTAGTTTACATCTGCAATGTCATGATTTATTTATGGAATAAATTAAATCATTATGTGCTTATAATTTCAACACTTCTATCAGCGGTGATATAGCAGGGTGGGAGGAACTTGAGTCCCTCCAGCATTCACACTGGATCTGCCCTGCATGTTTGCTAGCCTGCTTCACACTCTTGAGTTGAATCCAAGTTTATACAGAATATGCACGTGGGAGTGTAGGACGCACATAGGACAACACAATTGCGCAGACCATACAAATGGTCACATACTTGGAGCCAGTGTTTACCTTACTGTTACCGGGGTAAATGGGTTAAAACAATATTTCCTCATATAGCTGTGAGCTCGGAGAAGATAGTCTTAAGGTAACTAGGGGGAAATATTTTTCACATGCGGATTGTGTTTATGTTTGTAGAAACATATGCATGATTTCCTCGAGCGCTATACTAAAAAGTATACGGCTAAACGCATGCGTAAACAGGTTAGCTGCCGTATGTATAATTCTTTTTTGGTTAGCAACGAGTTGTATTTTAAATTATATTTTCTGTTTCAAGTAGAAATAATATGTAAGATATCTAGACGACATAAGCTTATATAAATCGATGTGGTTTATAATAATTTAAATAGTATATAGAATGATAATTTAAATATAAAAGTAAATATGACGTGGTTTTATGAGAGAAGAAAATGAGGAAGATAATTTGGACCATAGATTGATCATCCAATGATTAAAAACAATTGAATGATATGGCTTAATGAGAAAAGAAAGAAATAATATTACCGACATGAGAATGAACTATATATATGTATATATAGGATATTGTAAAAATTAATAGTGATATATATTGAAATATTATGTGAATTATGTGGGATGATGGATCAAATGATTGTATGTTTAAAGCTCTAAAATTTAATAAATTATATAGATACTATAACATGCTTATTTCATATCAATACATACGGTAAACTTAAATTTAATACAACACATACATAGTAAATTTGATATAATGGCATGCACATAGTAATTTTTTCTCTAAATAAATTTGCTTTGACATTAGTATATAAGTTTTGTGATGCATTTTACGAGTTTGACATAATCATAGTTAATTATTTGTTATTATGATAATATTACTTATTTTATATCAATAAATGGAACATTTAAAAATTTAACAATGATGGAAGTAATAGTCATGAAAGCATATCGTAAATTATTAGATGTGATAATATTGGCCTTGTTTGGATCCAAGGGCTATTTTTTAGCCCTCCCTCAAATAGTCTAAATAGCCCCAAAAGATCCAAAAGGGTGAGCTATTTGAGGGCTATTTGGAAATAGCCCACCCAAAAAAACTATCCCAACCAAGGGGTGCTAATTGGAGCTATTTTGAGTGGAGCCCACTAAAAGGTGTTTTTTCTCTCTCCCACAGGCACACGGGATCAGAAAACACGACCACCTCTCTCCCTCTCTCCGCACGACCGCGCGCGTAGGCGAGGGGCATTTTCGCCGCCGCCGCCTCCACTCCTCGCCGGCCCCCACCAGCGCCGCCGCCTCACCCCAGCAGCGCCGCCGCCCCCACCTCCTCCCCGCCAGCGCCGCCGCCCCCACCTCCTCCCCACCAGCGCCGCCGGCCCCACTCCTCGCCGACCGTCAACCACGTCGCCGCCATCCCCCACTCGAGCCGCCACCGGCCCCCCACTGCTCGATTTGTTTTCTTGTCCATGGAGGATGATGGCTTCGATTTCTTCTTCGAAGATCCAAATCCAAGCGTCTGGCCGTCGCAGCCGTCGGCGACCGGCCTCGGCCATGCTCCTCCTCCCCGTGCCGGCGTGGATGCGTTGGACCTCAACTTTGTTAAAGAAAAACTTTGTTGTTTTCTCCCTTTATGCTACAAGCTTATGAGATAGAGCACTGTCCTAGTGATAGAGCACAACGGCATGGCATATGCAGCCGGCCACACCAAGACACATGCCCAAAAGATCCAGTGGAAAAAGAGAGAAAATGGTAGTTATGATTGGGAAAGTGGACTAAAGGTCAAATAGCTCTTGCATCCAAACAGCTTAAGGGCTATTTCATTGAAGGGCTATTCCTTGAGCTAAAAAAAGCTCTCAAAATAACTCTTGGATACTTCTCCAAATAGGGCCATTGTTAACTACGAATCATAATAAATTTGTTAATTGTTAATGTTATTTTTTTAGAATTGCACAGTACAACACAGACACTCACAATGCACGCACACTCACCCCTATGAATGCACGCACGTAAACCCTATCCCTATGAGCATCTTTGAAGATTGGGCCAGCAAATTCTGTTATTGTTACACCTACGCTTCATTCATGCCAAGTATATTCTACAAACACATACATTTATGTTGTTAACTAGTTATCGTGCACGTGCAAGACACGTTTTGGCATTTTTTATGCAATGCACTCCATACAAATGCTACCGATAAAAATAGAGTTTCATAGAACATGATAGGATGACAATTTGTATGGATCCATTAAAAACACCAGCACTGTGCATTCCTAGAGTGCCAATATAAAATGCAGTGCACTGCCGGAGAAGCAAACCTTGTGTTTCTTGCTCCAAGAATCTGTATCTAATTCCAGATAATTCATTCAGCATAGGAAAAATTGTAAAGAATATAGATTTGAATTGACAACTTTAATAATAGCACAATGGTTATCTTCATACAATCTGATCTTTTTATACAAAATTTAAAATACATTTATATGATTCTTGAAATGCGAACACCACCGAAAGAGATTATAAGGCAATGATTTGTTGTATCTGAAGCCTTTAAAGTACAACAATTGATCTCTCCCTTCACTTGCAGCCATATGTCTATACAATTGTCCACGCCAGAGTGCAATGAAAGTGGATTTTGTGGTGATGGTGATTCTTCTCCTACTGACAGTATCCCCAATCATCAAAGCCCAAGTTGTCATGATGTTACAGAGTTATAGAATACGCAGTGATGCATTTGAATTAATAAGGATCAGATAATTGCTAAGATTCCAGTGCATGTCACTGGGTAGGCCAAGGGGAATTGGTGTGCATCACCTGTTCATGCAAATGGATTTGGTGTAGAGTTTCCAACAACATTATCCATTGCAATAGGCCAAGGGGCACCGATCAGTGGCCACCTGCATACATACACATATTGAAATTAGTTCATCAGTCAAGATGATCACTGGTTATCTTGGGCTCTATCAGTTGTTCATAGCAAGAGGACAACTCATGTGCATGATCAAATTATCATGTAGACGATGGAAATAAGTGTCCCACCAGCTTTAGGCTCTATCATAATGCATGTTTACCTGCAGGAAAGTGTACTAAATTATTGAAAAGTTTGAAGTGAATCTTATTTCCATATTCTACTGCATAGAAACAAAATTCAAGGAAGAAATTCATATAACAGTCTTCTCCTTTTTGTCTCTGCCTCCATTAACAGAAATTCCAAAGCTCCATATGAATGCCCTATAGGACAATAGGACACTGCACATAAATATGTCATCAATTTCTCATATTCTTATTTGTAGAACTGCATTACAGGGAGGAATACAATAGCCCATGGCTAGCATAATTCTCATGGAGGTAGATTTCAAACAGATCAAAATAGCAGAACTATAATGACTCATATGAGCAAGCCCGTGATTAGTCGATGGAGAGCATGTTTTGGAATATATATCACAGGAAATAATATATAATATCTATTGTAATATACAATGTGACACCCAACTATTAGTCCATTTAAGTCAGTAATTCATGGAAAAAAAAGGTGCATACACTGTCTAATTATAGCTCACAGTCCACTTTCCCTGTCTCTTTGCGCCCTTCCTCTTCCCCTGCTTTTCCTGTGAGCCATCGAGCTGCCACCACTGGACATACCAAGGAGTAAAAATTAAAATTGTGCCATCAGTATTCAGTAACTTACAAAACAAATAGCTTTATTTGATGAGAGGCATATACATGGATATTGCAAAGTTTTATTCACTCCAAATCTGAAGATGTACACATTGGCCTAAATCTATATAAATCTCAAGACATAAACAGGTGACCTTATATAAACCTCAAGATATACACAGGTGACCAAAATATTGACACAATAATTGATTTACTTTTCCACTTAAACTAAAAAGGTTGTGTATGGTCCAAACAGAATGAAAAACAGTCACAGAAATTTTTTCAGTAGAGAGATGGGTACCATTCCCTGGTCTCCGAAGCAGACTACCGTTCCAAAGGTCATATAAAGTGCAGACGACATCAATCCAAAGTGGCAAGCAGAATGATCTATACATGGATGTGTTAAACTTAACTCGACCCTGTCAAGCCATCAACTCTGATTCGATGAACATTCATTCTTTTTTATATATATATCCTCGATTAAAATTTCTGATAACTATTGAAATACATAATTGCCAAGCCTACTCCTTTTTCCCAAGTTATGTTTTCTAATAACGTCTAAGCAGTAAAACTTTGTGTATATAGAATGATCTTCTTCAAATTTTGTGCATATAGAATGATCTTCTTTTTTTTGCCCTGCCTCCCGTTTACCTATTACTCTTTACGTCGGCTCCATCTGTGGCCGATGGGGAAGAGGGACGACCTCGTCTCCAGCGTGGCCAGCGGTGGAACCATATCTTGCACTGTTGCAGAGTTAGGCATTTTGCAACATTACACATTGGGTTAGCATCAAGGTTGAACCATATATTGGGAGGAAAATTATGCTAGCTTTACTTGCATCGTAATGTAGAAAGGAAATATCGTTGACTCCTTGGCTCATAGCACAACAAAGTTTCAGTTAATAATTAACGCATGAAGAAAGATAAAAGAAAAAACAATGTGCCTGTGCTTACCACCATGGCGAGTGAGACCAACAAATCGAAGGGCGCAGCACGACGGTAAGTCGTAATCACGAAAGCCAATAGAGCAACTCAGTCGTCAGAAGCAGTCGGCAGACCACCAATCACATGAAGGGTGGAAGAAGCAAATTCCATCTGTTAAGTTCAGTGCAGTAAATATTTTAGATACTCAAACCTTATATATACCGATACATATTTAGTTGTTTATATACTGCTTAATATCTTAGTCAATTCATCTGCACCCGTGGTCAGTACGTGTACAAACCCAGGTTTGCACATGCATCTGTACATTACTATATAATTCATATAGAAAAGAAATGAGTCTAAACTTGAACAGCTTTTCAGGACGTTTTCTAGTCACGGGAATTGCTTCAATCTCATCCCTTTTTATTGTTTGATTGCTCTACTTTCGTATACAAGAAGAAGTACAGGACAAGGAATGTTATAAGTCGTAACCAGACTCATAACAGATATGGACCAGAGCACATATATGAACAAAATGAAGAAGGTGTAATATATTCCAACCCGGTACATAACCTACAATTGATAGTACCAGATGATTCAGATCAATATACCTATCAACAGGAGTAGCAAATATCCATAGAACTAACCCCAGCTTCAGGGATCCAAACAAGTCGATCTGGGAGAGGGCATGGACTGGAATGTGACAAGGTGTGGCAGCAGCGGGGGATCGAAGGCGTTACAGCAGCGGGGGATCGAAGGCGTTACCTGAGGGTGAGAAGGGAGGAGATCACCGGCGAGGAGACCCATGCGACAGGGAAGGAGCAGGAAGCCCGACGAACTTCTTGTGTGGCGCCGCGAGTGACGACGATCTTCCTGGGCGGCACCGAGGTCAAGGGATCCCATCGAAGTCGAGCTGAGCCTTGATCGCCTGTGGGAAGGGGGAGGGGGGTGCGACACGGGGATTCCGGGCACGACCTGCACACTGCACAGGTAGGGTAGGGGTAGGCAGTGGGCGATGAACGGCGCCGAGCTCCGCTGAGCCATCGGAGTGGAGAGGATGCGCAAAGAGCGCATGGCCGGCGCGGCGGAGGGGACGGCTGAAGTGGAGTCGGAGGGATGACGGGGCGACGGCGGAGGGATGACGGGGCGACGGCGGCGCGGCGCGTTGGCAGCGTTGGGGGTGGTTGGCGTGAGGGTGGGGATTTTTGGGTGAGTGCAAGAGAGAGAATGGGAGAGGTGGCGTGATTTTCGGGTGAACCATGTCGTTAGGGGGGGAGGGGGGGGGATGGAAATGCGGAAGAGAGGCTGATGGGGCAACGTGGAACAATCTGATTTTCGGATGTTGGATGGATTTGATGGATGAGATCTGTAGGATGAATGGATGGACGGTAGGGATTTTACCTGTTGATTTGGCAAGTTGGATTGGGGGTAAACTCCTCTTTTTTATATTAATATAGATTATTCTTATAAATTTAAGCTAATTACTGTAAACAACAAACAAGAAACACATTTAATATAAAAGGGAGGTTATGGTCCCGTGAACGTGTGTCCCTATAAACTAGTTGTTAGTGGATGATAATATATGATATATTGAGATTTAAGATATAGCGGATTGTAATTTTATAGAAAGATAGGATAACAAAAAATTACAATTATGGTCCAAAGCTGCCAACGCATAAGCCGAGACACCTTCGGAAACAAAACCAGAGGAAAGCTCTCTCCTACAACCTAGCTGTAGAGCTGGATAACAAGCCAGCTCGGCTCATTAAAGCTCGGCTCGTTTGAGCTCGTTGTTTTAACAAACCAGCTCGGCTCGGCTCGGCTCGTTAATGTTAACGAGCTAAAAGACTAGCTTGGCTCGGCTCGCGAGCTGGCTCGTTAAGCTCGTTAGGCTTGTTAATGAGCTATATCTTATTAATATCATATTAATAATTTCAAATTTAACATTTTATTATGTATTAACATAATAATTAACACTAACTAACATAGTACTCACTGAATATGAATAGTTTTGATGTAACTAAAAGACTAAGCACTAGTCAACAAACACTAAGTTCATGAAGATATGGTGATATTTTATACTAACGAGCTAAATAAGCAGCTCGTGAGCTAGCTCGTTAAGCTCACAAGCTAAAAGACTACGAGTTCTAATCGACCCGAGCCGAGCTTGCTACGAGTTGATTCGAGCCACGAGTTTTGAGCTTTTTATCTACCCCTACCTAGCTGGCCCAACTCATGTGCCACTTCATTCGTGCTTCGATGGCATTTGGAAATTCTAAAAAACTGGAAAGAATGAATGGATCTTTTGGCTTCTTCTATGGAAAAGCAGTTGGCTGACTGAGAAGAGAGTCGTTGAGCGCCAGGACGGTTGCCATCCAGCCGGCCACATAGCCACATATATAGGGTTCGACAAATGCCTGTCAACGCAGCTAAGCTTTCCATCTCTTCAACTGATCTGCAAAGCTGATCACTGGACCAACTAGAGAATACGACATTTCCCAAATGGTTTCTAGCGATAAAACCAAGGCCCACATGTCTTGTATTTGGAACAAAGCCGGCATCCACATTAAGTTTTATCCATCCAGGGAAAGGTGTTGTCCATGGCATTCTCTTTTGGTTCAAGTTCTGAATGTCCGGGAATACTTTATGTTGTTCCATGGATGATCCCTCATTGTGAACACCTATTATTTTTTTAAGGAGAATGCTACAGAATAGTATTATGTTTATATGGGATGATAATACCTGATACCTGGATACATATAATATATACGTATCAGGCAATACCTCATAGGTATCATCCTGTTCGAACAGGGTAGCAACCGAAACCTACCAGATATTAGGCGATATCTCTGAGGTATCATTATATCGAACGGGGTATTGTCATTTAGTATTTTTGAACGGGTATTGTTGTTTAGTATTTCCCTTTTCTTTAACACAAAAGGAGACAACACTAGGAACCTAACAACTCTTGATCAAGTTGCTTCTTGTCTATAGGCCACGATAAATAAAAAACGATTTTGTTTTTTCCGAGGAATCAAAACTATCTAGATAATAAAGTTGGTATATCGAACCATTATTTTAGTGGGACAATAACTTTCCTTGTTTTTTATACACTAATTAAGCATGTGTTTTTTCGATTACAGAGGTGAACAAGTCGTACATCTCTTAGAAAAAAAAAGGTCGTACATCATGGGGTGGTCAATTGACTATTTCACGCAGGAAACAAAAAGTGAACCGGCGAAAGAACAAACAGAGAAACAGAGACTTGGGGAGCATCTAATTAATCTTTCGACTTCGCTTCGCATACATGAAACGTGGTCGGGGGATATGCAGGGTTGGAAATTTTGGTTATTTCGGACTCCTCCGATATGATATTATTTTAGCTGAAATTTTTCAATTTTTTCCTGAATTTTGGTAATATTTTTTAAAATTTAACTAAATTTTGTTTAAAATTTCGGTATTTTGGTGATGTCCAATTAAATCGGCTAAACCGAAATGTTTAACCCTAGGGATAACTCTGGACAAACACAGCTTAGGTCTGATTGCAAGAAAAAATTGGAAGAAATTTAGGTGTAATCTGGACAATGCCAGTGCAAACGAATCAGAGTAGAATCTGACGATGATTCTATGACATGTCGCCTGATTTGCGTTCTGACGATCGGTATGAATTTTCGCGCGTTGCCGTTGTCCAAGCAATATTTGAAATCATTTCTGGATTGTATACAGATATCATTGCATTTGTACGTGCTGCCACACAATTCCAAATGGTCAAACGCATGATATTGTTTTTCTTTTGATTACACACGTTGAAGACAAGCGAGCACACCGCTGCATATATAGTCAGAGACAGAGAGCGTCACTAAATCCCTTTTGAATTCAATAGTACAGTAAAAATGGCAGAGTTGAAAAAAAAAAACTATAGACATGGATTTTAACGTGAAAAACCTCTGGAAAAAAAATCCGCCACACCAATGCACAGACGTGGAGATAGCTCTCGGGTAAGTTGGTCTGTTGTTGTCATCTCCACTGCCAACGGTCATCGACATATATAAAATTCAGTTGATGACCAAAATACGCTATTAGTTGTTCGGGCGCAATTAGGGTGCTAACTCCACTGCATGCCAATGCAACTAGCATTACAAGGAGTTACTTTTTAAAAGAAAAATTTTTGAAAGAAAATGATAAGTGGATTGTTTACAAGCATAACAGCGGTTACACTGAGGCATTTTCTTTCATGTAGCTTAATTATATAGAACCAAAAAAGGGGGATTACTCTGAAAACATGGCAAGCATGCCTATCAACCTCCCGCTCAATAGCTCCTACAACCTGGTCGTCCAGCATAATCATATGAAAATAGCTGAAGTTTTCACGCAATCAGATTATAATTTTCTCAAAAAAGAATCATATTTGCCAGATAACTACTGTTAGTTATGGATACCACATACCTAATACCTAATAGTAGTTGACTAAATCTCGGTAGGACCCACCACATACCATGTCTTATACGGAAACAACCTTCAGATATAGGAGGGGTTCCGCATAAGGAAGGATGAATAGAGTTCTACATGGAAACGACAAGTACTACTCGGATTGTATCCATATTGGTTTCCCTAGTTCTACTTAGACAAGGGGACACCTATGGGTAAAAATACAAGGCTCCCTAGGAGGAGAGAGGAGACGGAACAATAGATCAAGACAGAAGATCAACATAGAAGCCAACATACGCCAAGACAAGACGCCGGATATCGACTTCAGAGATAGGCATGGCTAATCCCCTACGGTGACTACGGATACCGTCAGGAGAGATATAGCGTTGTCTCTGATCTCGACGGATGCGAATTCGAGGAGGAAGGCTACCCTGTTGTCGACTACGAGTTAGAACTTCAGACCGCCATGTCGACAACAGTTAGTTAGGCTACCCCAAATATTGTACTGATGTGATTATGGTGAATAAGAGCAATACCGGCTTCGGCCAACAGGATGTAGGGTTATTATCTGACAATTCAGGGGCCCGAACCTGTATAAAAATCCCTGTCTCCATCTCTTTTACCTCAGTCTCGCGTACATCCTAGTACCAACGATCTCCATACTATACAAATACCGGAATCGCGACATCAAACGTCGACAGTGGCACGCCAGGTAGGGGGATTTTGGTGCTTTAGAATTTCGACGAGATGGGTTTAAGAGATGGATTCTCCAACAACAAGCTATTCGACGACTTCGGCTGTGGGGAGATCTAACCCGATCGGAATATATCCTCCGACAAGATCGGAACCATCGTCGTCAACAACTTGGTCTATCGAGATCATTCAAGCCTCAAGGTCCGCGGCGTACCAAAAGATGTCAGATCGCATGATATCGAACGAGTACGCAGCGAGGTAATTGGTAGATTGGTTTTTTTTAAATTGATCTACTAATTTCGTAGGTACATCCGGCATGTATCTATTAAGGTACGCAATATCTTATATGCAATTTATCGTACCTATTCAGATCATACAGCATTGTCAGATCAATAATTTATTATGTTTACCTAAAGCATGTTTTTTATACAATATCTACTGTGCAAGTGTCCCCGATGTTAAATCAACTACGGTTTAATGCTGGGGGCTCGCTCTATTTTCTTCCGTATAAATCATGCTTGTTTACGGTTTACATAATGCCTGATATTTACATCTGCTCGTTATATCCTGATAATGCTAGAAGATCGATGCAGTTTTTTGAGTACATACTCGATATTCTCTGCTATATGTCTTGCCTTCTAGAAAATATTTTTTAGGAACAATTGAGCACTCAAGTAGGTTGTGGTCGAGTACACCCCATTATCGAGAACGATCTCGACAAATGCAGAGTCGTCGCGCCCAACCTGCCAACGAAGACTGACGACCTATCTCATAGCACCGGCCATGGCTAGACTACTCGAGAAAAGGTTGTTAACAGATAATTCCTCACGAACGTTGTCGGCTTGATCACCCGACATAATTGCGAACGGACATCTGGATATGCTATATGTTGGGTATGTGAGTCATGCTGGCCACATGATATGCACATATAATAAACCAACTCTAGCGTCCCCATTGGTGTTCCCGAACCAGTAAACCGTAGCAATCTCTCGCACCGCAACTTCCATTGGTGTTCGAGAGATAATTCTACTCGCTCGCTGGTTCCCGAACCAGTAAACCGTAGCAATCTCTCGCACCGCAACTTCCATTGGTGTTCGAGAGATATTTCTACTTGCTCGCTAGTTCCCGAACCAGTAAACCGTAGCAATCTCTCCCACCGCAACTTCCATTGGTGTTCGAGAGATAATTCTATTCGCTCGCTGGTTCCCGAACCAGTAAACCATAGCAATCTCTCGCACCGCAACTTCCATTGGTGTTCGAGAGATAATTCTACTCGCTGGTTCTCGAACCAGTAAATCGTAGCAATCTCTCGCGCCTTAACTTCAGATAGTCGAGGTACGACTACGCCAATAGTATAGTGGTCCTCGCACCATGACTTCAGATGACTTCAGATGGTTGAGGGACAGCTGCGACTGGTCTTCGACCGGCAGCATAGTGGCCCTCGTACCAACTTCAAATGGTCAAGAGACACCTACTCACTGGTTCTCAACCAGTCAATCATAGCAATCTCTCGTACATTTACTTCTAGTGGTCGAATTACGACTACTACCTGGTCCTCGACCAGCAGTGTAGCGATTCTCCCACTATTTCCACTTTAAGTGGTCGAGTTGGGGCTACAACTGGTTTTCGACCAGCGGTGTAGCGATCCTCCCATTACCTCTACTTCAACAAAGTTGATATCAGGTACACAATATCGCCAAGTGTTTTACTCAGAGATCCCTTACCACGACGACACCTAGCGTTGAAACCTATCCTCATGTCCCTTTACGCCGTCTTGACAAGGCCTCTGAGGAACCTAAGGGAACTTTGGCTGGGGACGCCCAGAGCGGATAAGGCCTTGTCGGAACATGTAGAGACAAACGACCATGTAAGATCTGGTCATGTAAGAGTTCTCGCCATGCGTATTAACCAAGCCGTGTGATCGGAAATTGAGTTTTCCAACTTCACGGCTGGGGGCTAGGGTCAGTGCTTTTTCAACCAAGGCAGGTCAAGGGTCCAAGAGCCTTATCCTTCGAAAACGATTCTCCGACGACAAGGCTGGGGGCTATGGAGAGCGTATGACTCAACAAACTGACTGATCGAAGTCGGTAAGAAAGAAGATGCTCGTACACAAAACATTAGTCTGTAAATTTAATTCATTTTTAGTTTTCCATACATATTATAACATGTCACCCTTTGAGCGTTCGCTCGGGGGCTATTTCTATCTAATACTCTTTTCTGAGTGTTGATTTCAGGAAAATTCTATTCGACATTGACGAAGACTCCATGTCTTTATGGTTCTATACTAAGATCGACTAAGACGAGTACAACAAATGTTAACAAGGCTTCATCGCAGATTTTACGCCTTCTCGATCATTCGAGAACGGTTGGTGGATCTCGACAAGGAATACGGAATGAAAAGATGGTGTACCCGCCGAGATCAAAATTTCTTAACTTCAATCCAAATTCTCGATTACAGCAAGACGGGAGACTTAGTCGTATGCTCTGTACTTTCTTGGTTGACGTCGGAGATTGACTCAGACAAACCCTATAGGTGCCCGCGCGAGGCTGATAAGGGAAGTCTAACGTTATCTCTGAACTCACCGAGAATGGTCACGTGAGCTCGATAACAATTACTCCAAGGACTGCGATTGAGAATATGAATTTGTTCATTAGCATTGAAGTCGGGGGGCTACAGTCGGGGGCTACTGTCAGGGTTATGGATACCACATACCTAATAGTAGTTGACTAAATCTCGGCAGGACCCACCACATACCATGTCTTACACGGAAACAACCTTCAGATATAGGAGGGGTTCCGCATAAGGAAGGATGAATAGAGTTTTACTTGGAAACGACAAGGACTATTCGGATTGTATCCATATTGGTTTCCCTAGTTCTACTTAGACAGGGGGACACCTATGGGTAAAAATACAAGGCCCCCTAGGAGGAGAGAGGAGACGGAACAATAGATCAAGACAGAAGATCAACATAGAAGCCAACATACGCTAAGACAAGACGCCGGATATCGACTTCAGAGATAGACATGGCTAGTCCCCTACGGTGCCTACGGATACCGTCAAGAGAGATATAGCGCTGTCTCTGATCTCGACGGATGCGGATTCGAGGAGGAAGGCTACCCTGTTATCAACTACGAGTCAGACCTTCAGACCGTCATATCGACAACAGTTAGTTACGCTACCCAAATATTGTACTGGTGTGATTATGGTGAATAAGAGCAATATTGTCTTAGGCCAACAGGATGTAGGGTTATTACCTGACAATTCAGGGGCCCGAACCTATATAAAAATCTCTGTCTCCATCTCTTTTACCTCAGTCTCGCGTACATCTAGTATCAACGATCCCCATACTATACAAATACTGGAATCGCGATATCAAACGTCAACTACTAGATCTTATGTTTATTTACGAAATTAAATACAATTACAACGTACACAACTATTTTTGACCTTTACATGAAACTCACTACAACGAATGGAGCACGCAATAAGCTCAGCTTATGTGAAAGATAGTACATCGATCCGCACCACAAAATACAATTGGAAGAAAAAAAAGATAAGTACAGTGATGAATTTTCAAACATATAGACGGCGTAGCTACCCTATACACCACGCATCTTTACACATGACCAAAGATTTTTACAGCTATTAGTTTGACTGTCTGCCATGCACTACTCCCTCCATCTCATAAAAAACTAATTTAGTATTAAATCTGATACTTCCTAATTATATCCGGCACTAGATTATTTTTTATGTGACGGAGGGAGTAGGCCATGCTACATTTGAATTGGCTCGTCATTTTCCGGCGACAAGTGGCGGGATGCTCTGCTCGTTCCTGAAGTAGTCGTCGGCGTCGATCTGCGCCTTGGCCATGGCGAGCCGCTGGTAGTTCCCCCTGAAGTACTTCTCCCCCCACACCTTGCCGGCGTCGTAGCTGCTGACGCCGCCGGCGCCGACCACGTTCTCGCCGAGGTCCAGGTCCCTGTAGTTGGCGTACGCCTCCCTCGGGTCCTTGCTCACGAACGGCGCCATGAACGCGTAGAAGTCCCTGATCCACGCCCTCTGCGCCGCGCCGCCGCCGCCTCCGCCCGCCGCGCTCCAGAAGTTCATGTACTGGATGTTGTAGAGCACGCCGCCGCGGTGCGGGAACGGCGTCGCCGCCTCCGCCACGCTGCCGATCTGCCCGCCGTACGGGTCCAGGATCATCAGCCCGGCGTTGGGCCGCGCGAGCCACCCGAAGATGGCGCTCCACGTGTCCCTGCCGATGGCTTGCCGGACGTAGTCGGAGGTGGCCTTGTTGGAGGTGTCCATGGCGATGGTCCGGTTCAGGATGTCCTCCACGGTGGCGCTGCTGCCGAGGTAGATGTAGGGGACGGACTGGATCCAAGTCATCTCCCTGCAGTCCGACCGGTTCATGCCGAGCTCCGGGAAGCGGCTGCGCATCACCGGCAGCAGCGCGTCGCAGGTGCCGAGGTAGAGGGACTGGAAGCTGGCCCTCTGGCCCTGGACGAGCACGCGGATGAACAGGTCGTCGGGGAGCGACGGCGCGACGGCCTGCCACCTCGTGACGACGTCGATGGCGCCCTGGCTCACGGTCACCGGGACGTTGAACACCGTGACGGTCGGCGGCACGGCCACGAGCTTCACCTTCCAGGAGAGCACGATCCCGAAGCTCTCGCCGGCGCCGCCGCGGAGCGCCCAGAAGACGTCGCTGCCCATGGAGTTCTTGTCGAGGAGCCTGCCCTTGGCGTCCACGAGGACGGCGTCGACGACGTTGTCGGCGGCGAGGCCGTACTTGCGGAGCAGCATGCCGAAGCCGCCGCCGCTGAAGTGGCCGCCGACGCCGACGGTCGGACACAGGCCGGCCGGGAACGCGATCCGGCCGCCGGCCTTCCCGATGGCGTAGTACATCTCCCCGAGCGTCGCGCCGGAGTCCACCCACGCGGTGGCGGACGCCGCGTCGACGCGGACGGCGCGGATGTTGACGAGGTCGAGCACGGCGAACGTCTCCGGCCGCTCCGACCTGTACGAGAGGCCCTCGTAGTCGTGCCCGCCGCTGCGGATGCGGAGGCGGACGCCGTTCCGGCGGCCGCAGAGCACGGCGGCCTGGACGTGGGAGGCGTTCGTCGGCGTGATGATCCAGACCGGCCGCGTGGTGTTCGTCAGGAACTTAGGGTTCCGGATGCCGGCGTCCAGCACCGACGTGTACGACGGCGAGCTCTGCGTGTACAGGAGCTGGCTGGGTATGCTCGCCGAGAGGCATTGGAGGAAGCTGTCCGTGGCGGCCATGGAGGACGACATGGAGGCAGCTGAGCAGAGGAAGACGAAGGCGGCTAGGGCGCCTAAGCTTCGCGACGACATGGCCATGTTTGCGTCGTGCATGCAACGATCGAACACGTACTAGCTGCTGTTTGCAACGAACGAACGATGCATTGTTGTTGCATTTTGCATGGTGTTGGGCTCTACATATAGGCAGCCATCCCACGATCGATCGAGAGCGACTTGTCACACGTGCAGAGCACGCTTCAAGAAAACGGCTCGTGCCAGTTGCCAACTAGTGTGAAAAGATTATTTTCTTTCTTTTCCAGCTTGGCTTTATGAGAAAAAGTCATGGTCAACTAACTGGCTTGGGAAAGTCTAAATATAGTATAATTATACTCTCTCCCATTATTTCCTAGCTATATACACGTCGCCTAAAAGTGCATGTTGTCATTAGTCTAGAATTAATATATTATTTTGTAAGGTGCGAAATAAAAAATTAATGATTCCAAAACTTAGGATCAATGAATACAAAATTATACATCATCGTGGACTCTCCATTTAGTTTTTCTTGATTAAATCATTTCAACATTTAGGATTAGAACAAACAAGTTGTATTTGGTTTGGAGTCAATTATAAATTTCCATTAATAATTATAAAAGTATTGTGTACTAATTATCTTAATGTATAATTCTAAAGAGGCTAGCGCCAAGGGTCTATTTGTATTTTGTAAGAAAAACTATTGCATTTTAACCTTTTTTATAAAATTTATTTTACAAATAGGTCCTTAGCATAAATCTCTTTGGCGCCGACCTCCTTCGTGTCAGCAACTTAGCTATCACGAGGGGTTGAGGGTGTCGGCGCCAGTGTCATTGATGTCGACACTATTGAATCTCAACGCCAAAAGGCTTCATTCTTGGAATACTTTTTTTTTCAGATATCCATTTGTAAAATAAGTTTTCAAAAAAAGAGTTAAAATGTAAAAGATCGAGTTGTACTAATAGTTTAGAGTCTCAAATATAGTTTCCTGTAGATTTAATAATTATAATATTTGGAATTACAAGATATGTATGAATTTGAACTGACTCTTAATTTAGTATCTAGTTAATTCAATTCCAAAATCAAAATTAGTTTAGCAAGTTGTAGTTGATATTAACCTAACAAGGGGATTGTCATGCGAAGATTGTGTGGTGTAGAATTAGATACGATATACAACAATTAAATTATATGTACAATTCTATTTTCTACCCAATAGATGATCTTTAAAAGAGATTTAGGTATTTCATATCCAACTCCTAGTTTATGTTTTTATAGCTAGAATTGTAATTTTAACTGTATTTTGTACACAACTATGCTAATCTATCTTGGACCCATCATGATCTATTGGTCCAAATATTTTTGTTTTCTTCAATTAATGTGAAAAATCCTAGCCTCTAGAGCGAATATGGTAGCTTTGTTCAAGCTATCTTAATAATATATCATAGAAACATAAATAGATAAATTATGGTTTACTCTCATTTTTACATATAGCTAGATTTATTCCTTCTTGCTCAAAATAACAAGGAAACTTTCTCGGAATGTCTATAGATATGGATATATATGTTTGTCGGTGTTATAGATAAGACATACCTAATACTTTTACGTTAGGCTCGGTAGGGCCCACCATATAATAAGTGTAATCAAACCTTATATATGGAAGGTAGTCTGAATAAGGAAAGAGAAGCACAATCCTACTTGGGCACGACAAGGACTACTCGGATTGTATCCATACTTGAGTTCCTAGTTCTACTTAGATAAGAAAATACTAGATGGTATAAAAACAAGACCCCCTAAGGAGAGGGGGAAGATACAAATTCAAACCAGTACAGATATAGACAATTCAAGACAAGGCAATATCCACTGAGATAAGCCTAGACATACCCAGTAGGGAGCCACAGAGGCCAACAAGAGGGATCTAGGGCGACATCTAATCGCGCCGAGTTCATGTTCGAGGAAGCAAAGACTAAATTAGGTCAAATATTGTACTCGTATGCTACATACTAATATATCAAGGTAACACCGGCTTCGGCTAACAGAAGTCCGTACCTATATAAAAATTCATGTTTCCCGCTTCTTTTACTGTAATCTCGCATATACCTAGCACCAACGATCCCCATACTATATAAATACCGTAGGCCGGTATAGCCCATCGACAATATTGTTTATGCCACAAACGTCAGCCCTGTTCCGCTTAGGTTGCTAACTGTCACGCCCTGAAGTTTTCCCCCCTTTTTGCTTGCTTTAAAAATTGGCTAAATAAATCGTCCGAAGAAATTATCTTAATTAACCTAGAGCTAATTCCCTAATTAATAAATGCAAATAATAATCGGAATCGGCATGTGGAATTTTTTTTTGGATTCTACATGTCACAATATATTAACAGGATTTTTAGTGGAATTTTCAGAGCCTTGGAAATAATTTTAACCAATTAAAATGGAGCAAGTGCAATTTTAAATTCCAGGGAAATTCCTTTTTCTTTTTCTTTTTCTTTTTCCCCTCTTTTTCCTCCTTTTTGCGAAATGGGCCGTCGGCCCATTTCCCTTTTCCTTCCCCCCCCTCCTCCTTGCTGGGCCGGCCGCAGGCCGAGGCCCAGCCCAGTAGCCGGCCGCCCGCCTCCCTCCTCTCGGGGTCGCCGACAGGTGGGGCCCACCTGTCGGGCCCGTCTCCCACCTCCCGCCGACCCCGGCGCGCCGCCGCGCCCGCAACGGCTGCCGCGCCCACGCCTCCGCCCCTCCCGGGCCACGTCGGCCACGTCCGCGCGTGCGCCGCGTTCCCCGCGCCCGCTCCCCTCTCTCTCCCGCTCGCGCCCGCGCCCGAGATGGCCGAGATTCGAATTTCGAATCCCGCCTCTCTCTCCGCCCCACTCCCCCACGTCGGCCGGCGAATCCCGCCGCTCCCGGCCACGTCCGACCCCCTCTCCCCCTATTTAAGCATCGCCGGCGCCCCCTCTCTCTTTTTCCCCATTTCGCCGACCCCTCTCGAGCTCCCCATCGTCCCCGCGCCGTGCAACCACCCACCGCCGCTTCTTTCCGCTCTCCGGCCGCCGCTAGCCGCCGCTAGACTCGCCGCCGTCTTGCGCCGTCGCCGCCGTTAGCTTCGCGCGGCCGAGGTCCACCTCGTCCGCCCCTCCTCCGTCGAGGTTCGTCGCCGGAACCCCCTCCCCACGTGCACGGGTGAGCGCCATCCCTACCGCCGCCTTCGGCCATGGAATCCGACCGCCGGGGTCTACCTCCCTCTCTCTAATCCCTCTCTCCTCCTTCCTTAGGGCACGCCGGAGCTCGTCCGCCGGTCGCCGTCGCCTCCCGTGGCTTGCCGCCGCCGTTCGCCATCGCCTTCCTCCGCGCCGGCCACCCTCGGTGAGGCATCTCCTCTCCTCTCCTTCCCCGTTTCCCCGTGCGTCGCCGTCGCCCGCGCTCGCCGTCGTTTTGGGTCGTTGCCGCCGTCCGCTGCCGCCGCTTTCGCGTCGCCTCCGCCGCCGGATGCTGTCGCCGGCGACGCGACGCGCCCGCACCGCCGCCGCTAGCTCGGGTCGGCCGATCGGCTTTGACGCCGATCCGAGCCCGGGGTTGCCGCCGCCGTCGTCCGTCCGATCGGCCTGAGGGCGATCCGGGCCGTCGGTTCGGCCGCCACGTGGCGCCGCCGCCCCATCCTTCTCCCCGTGTCACTGACCGGTGGGCCCGCGAGCCGCCGCCCCCTTTCTCTCTCTCCCGTGCCGCTGACCGGTGGGTCCCACATGTCGGCGCCGCGCCGCCCCGCGCTGACGTCAGCCCTGGAATTTATTGCGTAATAATTTATTTAAGGATTTCTTTTATAGTAATAAACACAGTGAATCTTCTAAAATTCATAAGTAATTCATCCGAGCTCCGTTTAAGCCCATTCAAGTCTCAGTAAATCAAGAAAAATGCAAAGAATCCATTAAAAATGGTTTTGTTTCCTGTTTCTGTAGTCTTATAGCATGTTTTGCTTGTGTGCTTTGTTTGTCGCGTAGGTTTCGGCCGTTTCGTCGATCCACGGTTTCTCGAAGACGTTGCTGAGGTCTCGTCAGTGCGAGAGCAAGGCAAGTCATGCAATACGTTTGATCATATTGTACCCAATTTACAAATATCCCGCATTTCTATTAAATGTTGCATTCTTTTACAATATCATGTGGGATGGGTCCGACTACTCAGCCATTTATTGTTTACCTTATGCCATTGATAACCTGGGTATCAAAATGACTAGATGTTGGTTTAGGAAATGCTTAGCCATGCTTAGTTCAACTAGCACACAAATGGGGATCACCTTATTACATAGACTTTGACTATGAGCATAGCTTTGGATTGGTGCCACCGCAATGGTGTTAGTTAATTAAAATACATTGAATGGTGGGTTGTGGGTGCATGGTTTTGCTGGTCGCACCCATGGCAGTTAAGGACCGGTTCACGGGAAACCCTGGGAGACTTACCGTGCTTACCACAAGCGGGAGTGGGTAACTGCTTGATCTGAAGTATAGCTCGACCCTTTCCTAGGCACCGGTGGCGAGGGTGGGCGTGATGGAGTTGGGTCGGCCGGGGTGTCCGGTTGTCCAGCTGCCGGATTCACCGCGGCGCAAGAGGGGACCGCCCACTGCCTTTTGAGGGGTGGGGGTGAAACCTTAGCGTGGTGTGGATGGTTAGGGGAGGGTTATGTGGAGGGTCTTGTCACGATTTCCCCCTTTGCAGTATCATGGTGATACTTCGGGGCATGGCGACATGTGTGGAATCGTGTCTTGTGGGTACAGTTGTACACCTCTGGCCAGAGTAAAACTATTCGAATAGCCGTGCCCGCGGTTATGGGCGATCAACCAGATTCACCGTGATTAGTCTCACCCCTAGTTTAGCTTAATGAACTGGTGTAGTTCAGGTGGTTGGTTGGGCCTGTTGCAACGTGGTGTAGCGTTGGACAGTGTTTGGTTAATATTGATTAATTACTACAACTGTTTTACTGCTTTCAACTACTGCTTTTAAATGCTAGCTTTATGCAAAAGAACCTCTAGCCTCCTTTGGTTATATCCTGCATCATACCTCCTCTTCCGGTATGACTTGCTGAGTACAGTGGGTAGTACTCAGTCTTGCTCTCTTTTCCCCCACACCAGAGCTGAAGATCTTCCTAGTTGGAGCTGTTTTGTCAAAGTTGG